CCCCTAACAATTTTGGAAAAGAAATATTAATTGGCGACTGAAATGTTTGTCCATCGCCGGGAACGACTTCACCACGCCCTTTGGGTCTGGCAGAACAAGCTCACTCCCCCCCCCCCAGCTGTAATACTGAAGTTTCGCCCCTGCAAGCATGCAACTGAAATCATACCTTTCGTAACCGAACCTTCCCCCTGAAATAGGCCACCCCTCTAGTAAACTCCTCCCCCCTTGTTGAAGGAAAAGTTTATAAGATAAACCTTATTCCACCTTAATGATATCAGAGGACAAAATCAGGACTTTTTACACTTTACACCTGATTAATGTGAATAATGACGGCTTATAATCGAGTTTTTTGTGAAGGTGTATTAATTATAAAGCCGTCATTTCTGAATCGCATTTAACATGAAAAGAGCTTAGCCTTTCAAATTTAAGTCAAGCATAACGCCGTATTCTATTGAATTCATCTGACAACCTATATAATTATCGTTAATTTGAATTTGAAAGACTATACTTTTTTATACATAATTAAGCCCACAGTGTATTAGGTCCCCTTTCTAAGCTCCTTCCAAAATAACAAGGGCTCAGATAGGGCTCTTAATCCACCACGCGCACGCCCCTTGGCCCTTTGCGTAAATAATCTGTAGTTTCACCTTTCTGTTTCATCTAAACCGTGCGGCACACAGGACAAAATTAGAATTTTTTTTCAAATTTACACCACCATTTTCAATGCAATTAATGACGGCTTTTAACACACCTTTACACCAAATGTCGATTGCTGGTGCAAAGGTGAATTAACACAATCATACTGACCTACCTATAACCTATCCTCGGGTCATGAGAGGTAGCAAATTGAGGTAAATGGAGCCAATCTTAAATCTTTATTTACATATGCATTTGATAGAATAAACATACAGTATATCCTTGACGTTAATTACGGTCGAATGCCCATGCACAGACAATTCATTAATAGCATGATAACGAGGCTTCGTGTTAAATTGTAATATTTCTGTAGCAAATTAGTAGTACTAATTACATGGAGAGTTTTCAGCCCGGGCTGAGTTTCAGCCCGGTTAAACGAGCTGAAATTGCACCACGATTACATGAGCAGTTTGACCCCGGGCTGAGTTTAGTCAGAGCTATATTTATAGTCAACCCGGGCTGAAATAATCTGAATGTCACGAAATAGGACAATAAGCCTGTTACGCTTCTGTGAGGCAATCAGACGCTGATTAGTCGACTATTTGACTTGTCATGTGAGACTGTGGTTAAATGTAAAGTATTTAAAGATGAAACAAACACCCAAAATAAAGCCATTTAAACGGTTGTTTTTACAGCCCGGGCTGAAATTATTTGCGATTACATGCTGCCGGGCTGAGTTTTAGCCCGGGCTGAAATTTCAGCCCGGGCAGCTCAAACCGGGCTGGAATTTTGGTCATGTAATCCATGGGCGTACCGGAAGGCAAAATTTAGGGGGGCGGAAAGAAAATTGCCCGACTTTTCGGGATTGTGCCGGACTAGTACCGAAAAATTTTTTCCGGAAAAATTATTTTGGCGACCTCCCCACCCCCCCCCCGTCGCCAAAAAAATTTCGGTCAGTGTACCATTTTAGGGGTCAGAAAAATTCTCTGGACAACCAAAATTTTTCGGAACATAAGACAAATTTTCCAAAAAACACAAAATTGCCCACCAAATTTACTTAAATTTAGACAAAATTTACAGAATTTGTCCCATTTTTGTTTTATTGCAAACCAAAATTGCCCGACTGTTGATCGAATATTGCCCGACTGCCCAACAAACTGGGGGGCTACCGCCCTCCCCGCCCCCGCCCGGTACGCCTATGATGTAATCCCTTGCTGTGTTTTAATAGGATTTTATTCTTACGCCCGCCATTTTGTTTACCAATGTTTGCTGATGTCAGCAATTTTACCCGTAATTTCTACCCGTTTCCCCGCGGTAAACCATGGTCTACACGTAAACGACAAACGGGTACGGGTGTCGTCTATTTACTATTTTTGGGCCGTTTAAATAGTATAAATTTTCAACATCTTACCCAAATAAATAATGCACATATGCTGGTCAAAGTTTTCAACAATTTATGGCGAACCCCAACAGCGAAAGTTGCCCGATTCTCTGATCGGTCTTCTCACGCCGGAGTATCTCGGATTTCTTAAGTTACAAGTTATTCCCCGATTTATGGGTACGGGTACGTTATATCACCCGTACTCGTAAACCGGAATCGGGTATCTTAACCTCTCTAATGAAAGATTCCGCTCCGCGCGCAAAAGTCCGCCTAGTGGCAAACTAGCCTGAAAACAGACCTTCGTTTCGCCCGCCCTAAAATTTGCGGGTCTGTTTTTAGGCTAGTGGAAAACTGGCTCCCATGGCCAACTGAGCTACAGAGCTGCAGGGTCAATTCCTACCGGAGAGCCTATAGTTGCATTTCTTGCAGCTGCTCCTGGACAACTCGAAATGAATAAATGTATAAAACGTATACTCGACCAATTTTCACCTACAAAATTATTCAACATCGAAAATTTAATCTAAGAGTGATTAATATAAGAAGGTTTAATTAATGGCCCTTATTTAATCAGATTTAATTACGTGTACTAGCTAGATTTAACAGTGGCGGCGCCAGGGGGGGCAAGGGGGACAAATGCCCCCAGAATTATTTTTTG